CATTATGGCTGTGGTTCTATTGTTGCAGATAGACCCCAAGAGTGAAAATCTTTGGACCTTTTTCTAGGGGTCCATTTGCAACAATAGATTTTCACTCTGGGGTTACCATCTGCAACAACACGACTCTTTCGAGAGTTATATGCAAAAATAGAATTAAAATGGTAGTTAGTTCAATTTGGTAATAATGGAGTTCTATCTGTAATTAATTAACCCTATATATTTTTTTTAAAGTCGCTGCCACTCCACCTAAGCTTCGAACTTGTCAGTGAATAGTGAAGGGTTATAATTTTTATACTCTTAACCTGTCCTAGTAGTTAATAGGGTTATAATTTTTATACTCTTTAACCTGTCCTAGTAGTTAATAGGCCGAAATCTGGATTCACGAAAATACCTTTTCTTTTATTTGCTTTGGAAATTTGTGGTCGGTAAAATTTAAACTTGAGTTGCTTTGATCTCTGTCACTACACCAAAATCGCGGTGAGTATTAAGTGTTCTAATTTAAACATATTCCTAGCATGTCTGCAGAGGCTATTCTAACTGTACCTTTAACTGTGTAATTTTATTGTTGGATTGCAGGAAGGGGTATTGTCGGAACAGTGATCCCAGGCTGCCCGGAATCCTACCAGTCATTATCAGACCAGTCCTTCGAGCAGCAGATGGGGGGGGGCGGCAGAATGTCAGAGGACCAGCACCAGAATGATCCACCACTTCAAAGACCGACGCGAACCATTCATCGCTCTACCCTCCGGAGTGGCCTACTGGAGCTACAACGACGGGGACTCCCCGGTCGTCGCTCTCAACGTCATGGACACCAGCAACACCGCCAACCAACTCGACCGCAATCACAGGGTAAGTCCCCATTAACAAGAGGATGAAATTTCACTAATTTAATCCCCCTTCAGCTTTTGGGTTTTGTGCGGAAATCCCCTTGAACTTAATTATTCCACTTAAGCCTTCCCTATCTGTGTCTCACTTAACACCATATATAACAACCAAAAATGAAAAAAACAAAAAAAGTGAAAAATAAAAACGATCAAGGTTACGTTGCGAAACCCCCAATTAGCAGTACCATATCAGCATATGCACATACACAACTAACATTTGCTTCCACGTTTTTATAGCAATTTATGCTTGCCGGCAGCCAGAGGCAGCAGAGAGGCCAGCAGGAGTTCGGACGAGGTGAGAGGGAAAGGATGCGAGAGACGGAGAGCTCCGGAAACAACATCCTCAGCGGGTTCGACACCGAGACTTTATCCAACGTGATGGGCATTAACAGACAACTCGCCGAGAAGCTCAAGGGCCGCAACGATGAGAGAGGAGAGATCGTTCGAGTCCAGGGCAGGCTCGAGGTGCTCAGACCCTCAAGAAGCGAGTCCATGGGCCGAGGAGGAGGAGGAGAAGAATATGAGTATGAAGAAGAAAGAGGAAGGGTGGTGAATGGATTGGAACAAGCTTTTTGCTCGATGAGGATCAAGGAGAACATCGGCAACCCACGCCGTGCCGATGTCTACAACCCTAATGCCCGTAGGATCACCACCCTCAACAGCCAGAAACTCCCCATCCTCTGATATCTTCGCAGTGTAAGCAAACAAATCCAAAACAATGATCTTCAAACTCTAATATTTATCTTTGATTCACTCAACCACCAATTATTTTCCAATTTAATCGACAGAACGCATTCCTCGCTCCGCTGTGGAAAGTAAACGCCCACAGCATAATGTACGTCATCCGTGGGAGCTGCAGATGCCAGGTGGTGAACAACCGCGGTCAGACTGTCTTCAACAGCGAGGTACGCCGAGGCCAAATCCTCGTCGTCCCCCAAAACTACGCTCAGTTGAAACAATCCACAAGCGACGGGTGACGATCGAGACCAACAACAACTCGATATCAAGTCCGATCGTCGGGAAAACCTCGGCCCTTGGAGGGATGCCGGGGGAGGTGCTGATGAACTCATATAGGATTTCGAGGGAGCAGGCGAGGATGGTGAAGATGAATAGAGGAGAAGAGTTTGCTGTGTTTAGTCCGAGGCCGGCTCAGCAGGAGAGGGAGAGGGATTCTGCTTAAGGCGCGAGTATGTTATCTCGGCTATGGCGGCTTTAGTTTGTATGAATATGTGTAGATGATGAGTGGAATAAAAGCTTAATGAGCTAAGAGGAGGTTGGCCGTAGCTTTGCATTATGTATGAGTCTATATATTATTATGAGTAAAAAATAGGGGCGGGGGGGGTGGCGGGGCAGAATGAATCACAGCGTAAGCTAACTTAACATTCCCTTTGCTCACGAGGGGCAATACAAAAGGAACTGCACTTGAAAGAAGCAAGGAAAACTTTCATTTGGCTTCAGTTGAATAACTCGTATTTCCATCTTTTTAACAAATTCATATTACTTGGCCTCAGTATTCTTCAAGAAATCTGTTTACAGCCTATCAAATCTTCATCTGCTCTGACAAATTTACTACAAAGCTATCCATTCTCTCAACAAAATCATCCAGAGAAGCCTCTTTGTCATTTTAATTCAAAATTGTACGTAGGCCCGTGAATCATGCAGTAGAGGATGAAAATAAATTTATTTGGGCTATAAGTAAGATTAGCTCTTTCCTATAAGAAAGGAATTCTGCCTTTGTGAGAGGCAAGCATAAAAATTCTTCCATATCCGAATAAAAGTAAAAACTACAAACTACATTATGGTCACAGTACAAAACATAGTGAAATTTCAAACCTATCTCCCATAACATGATTCAATTCTTTCATTCAAAAGAAGCATCCTGTCATCTAACCCCAGATTTGAAATGTTCAGTAACTTCACTAATGTAAATATCAGAGTATTAAAACTCAAGACAGAGAAGAGGTTAGATGAGTGCAGAGAAGCAAAAGCTACAGTGCATTGGATTATTGATCTGCTCTCACATAAACAGCAATTGAGCCTTGGATATCTCGGTCCACCTTGAAATGAGCATGGAAGAACCTCTTTATCTTCAACCACCCAAAGAAAAATGAAACAGAAGACAACACATAAGCAAAAAAAAAAAGAGCGAACAACCAAGTAAACATCTTATAGCAAAATGCTTTTACTATGTGCAGTACTTATTCGTGCTCAGGACGTTCAAGACCAATGAATCTGTATGTAACAGTGAATAATATTTTGCTCTAGTGGAAACCATTTCCAAAGTTCTAAACAGGAAAAGGATTTTTAGTTAGTTTTAGTTCAAAACTACAAATTACGGTATGTTGGTTTGCTATCTTTGGTTTATTAATTTAATTGTTGATGTATGATTAGAAATGAAACAGTAGGTAACTAGGACTAGAATATTTGCTTGCTTTGTTCAATGACAACAGAAACTTCGGTTTCTAAATTGGAATTTAGTAATTGAAAGTTAGAATTTTGAAAATGTGATATGTGATTAGAATGTGTAAGAAACAGTAAGATGCTAAGATGGTTGGCTTAATTTGGCTATGAATTTTTGTAATTTGTTTGTAAATTGATAACTTGATTCGTGTGCATGTTTGCTTATCTTTCTTTTTTTTTAATATGTGCAGTAGAAAAGGATATCGAACAATGTCTAAGAGTTCAGATCCCACTAGAGAGCATGGTATTTGGAAAGAAGAAGAATCCTATCAGTGTCTATTGCAAGTATTGCAATCACCATATTACGGCGGGTGTAACACGATTGAAATATCACTTAGCCGGTACCCCGAAAAGAGGTGAAGAAATGTGAGAAAGTTCTGGAAACAGTGAAGTAGTTTGGGGATGTTCTGAAAGGAGCCAAAGCTGTAAAAGAAAAGAAGGTTGCATTGGTTTAATCAATCGGAAGAATGGATGATGACTCAATTTAACAGGAGATATGATAGCTTCAAGGTACAAAGCGGGCATGGTAGTAGTAGTCAGGTCCAACAGTCCAGAACATTTAGTCCATTGGACCAATTTGTTAATATCTGGGGTCATCAAATGACGATAGAGAGCATGGGTCAAAAAAGAAGAAAGGGGTGTGGTGGCAGAGAAGATCAGTCGATTTATCTTTGCTAACAGGTTGTCTTTCAATAACATTAACAGCCTGTACTGGAGGAAGGGAGATGGCGAAGTATATGGGAACATTCGGTCCCAGAACAAATCTTCCATTCGGTCCCAGAACAAAGCTTCCTACTCCTTATGAGATAAGGACACTGGTGCTTAAGAAAGAAGTGGAGAATGTAGATTCTATAAAAGCAAAACATAAAAAGGCTTGGGCAAAGTATGGTTGCACTCATATGTCCAACGGATTTTTAGAGAGGAAGCGTAGGATTTTGATTAACTTCCTTGTGGACTTATCGGAAGGGACTTTTTTCTACAAGTCCATTTATGCGTCGGTGGCTATTAAGAAACAGGAAATATCTTTTTGAGTGTCTTGATCAAATGGTGGAAGAGATTGGAGAGAAGAATATTCTCTAAGTCATCGCTGATAATCATGCCTCCTATGTACTAGTCGGTAAGAAGTTAATGGAGAAGAGGAAGTCACTTTATTGGTCACCATGTGCGGCACATTGCACTGACCTCATGTTTGAGGGCACTGAGAAAATAAAAATACAACGGAACATTCTTGAAGATGCAAGTAAGTAACACAATTCATCTACAACCATTATTAGGTATTGATCTTGATGAGAAAGCACACGGATGGGAAGGAGTTATTGAGGCCCGCTATTACTCGTTTTGCCATCAAGGTTACAGAAAGCACTATGCGGCCTAGGCGTTTGACCGATGCAGTGACGCCTAGTTCCTAAGCGCCTAGGCGGGAGCTTAGGCAGCGCCTAGACGGTTTTCCTTATTTTTTATTTTTTAATTACAATGACTGATAGTAAATGCTAATGTTATAGAAAGTATAGGCGCCAGACTGAATCCTAAATGCATTTCATTCTTCATTTAAGTGGTGGTGGTGGTGGAGGATGTTTTGCTAAAAGTCGAAGGAGATAGAGGAGATGTTCATAGTTGAAGCCTAGAGGAGTTTGGAGGTCGGAGGACGTAGAGGTTGTAACGAAAAAATCACGATCCAGCCTTAAGGGGTGCAATCCACACTCCCCCAGGTGCTCCCGAACCTAAGTGGGCAGTCTAGGTACTGCCTAGCTTTAGACGTACGTCTAAACAGGCCTAGGCGTACGTCTAGGCAGGCTAGACGGAGGATTTTTAAAACATTATTTGTCATATCCTTCTTGACACTACAAAGATTGAACCTTTGTGGACCATATTCTCTTCTCAGGATTTCTAAAGAAGCAATTGGGCAAAGAAGCCGAAAAGAGTGAATGCTATGGACAAGGTTCTATGCGCTAGAGAATTCTGGAGAAAGATGGTTTTTTGCTTCACCGCCACACTTTCGCTAGTTAATGCCCGCCGAGAAATATTACAAAGGAGAAGATTGCTGATGCATGTAATGGAAAGAAGAGATTGTACATGCCTTATTGAAAGCTAAATGATTCTAGATGGACAAATATGTTGCATCAACCTGTACGTGTTGTACGTGTTGCTGCTTACTATCTTAATCCAAATTTATTTTATGGGGACAAATTTACTGAGGATTTAGAGGTGAAGAATGACTCCGCGTGTGCATGAGTCACATGATCCCCAACGAAGATGAGAACATTAGCTGATTGTGAGCTAGATGCTTACTGGGGAAAATTAGGAGAGCTTGGAACATCCATGGCTCAAAAGTCTGTAAGTAATAGTACTCTAGGTATTAATTTAATAATTATTAATTATTTCAATTTTCATTCTATAGTGATGATAGTTTCTTTTGTTGATTTGTGATGTTTGAATGTATAGTTTCTTTGTGGGAGAGATTTGGGGATGAGATTCCGAATCTAAAAAGATTTGTAGTTTGTATTCTCTCTCTCTCACTACTAGTGCATTAGGATGCGAGCGCAATTGGAGCGCTTTTGAGCAAGTACGAGGAATCTCAATTCTAAAAATTCAACTAATATCTTTTATCTCAGAAGCTTACAAGTTGTTATTCTTTGATGAAGGTCCACTCAAAAAAGAGACGTCGTCTGGAGCAGGAGCACCTTAGTTCTCTTGTTTATGTCATGTGCAATATCAAGCTAAGAGAAAGAAATATGCGGAGTGATAAACACGTAAAATATGCATTATCTTAGTGTGTTTCAAGCATGATTTACGAGCGTTTGATGCATATTTCGTGTTTAGATCGAGGATACTGCTGTTGTTTGTGTTCTTATATGTAGGTATTGGCTCAAGATTGAAAGATTTGATGATCGTTGGAAGTTTTACAAGAGTTTGAAGCAATAACAAGATTTTGAAGGCATGGTTCGTGAAGAAAATGGATGCACGAGTATGAAGAACTGGAATTTCGACCATGATGCAGTTTGAATCAAGAAAAACTCAAAAGATGAAAGTTGTAGATCTCTTCAACAGGATTCCAATGCAACTTGAATCACCTCATTCCGAGGTCGGACGCAAAAGTTATAGCCAAAATACCGAAAACTGAAGAAACAAGCACAAAATCAGCAAAACAGCCCCTACCACACCCTGGTGTGGTGCAGACCACACCGGTGGCGCGGGAATTATTTATTTTCCAGATTTTTGGGGACATATAAATAGATGTTTTGACTTAGGGTTTTGGAATATCTTTTGTTTTCTTCTTTTGAAAGTTTTGATCTTTAAACTTAATTTTTAGTGTTTTAATTTTGTTGATTCGCTTGATCACCGTATTAGCAATCATAGGTAATTAATTGAAGGACTGAAAGGTGAAGATTAATACCGGATCTCTAGAAATTAAGCAGGGGGCTTGAACCACGAAAGTAGGCTAGATTCCTTGGGAATTTGATTTGGATTAGCATAAAGCTTAATGGGTTTAATTTAATCTTGATTCTACGAAAGTAAGTTAATTGAGATTGATTAGGCACGATCTTTAGACATTGAAAGAGGCTTTAGATTAATTTAGGCTAATTCACCCTTTCTAGATTAAACCAACACCAAGAATTGAAATAATTCATCATTGAACACCTAAGTTGTGGTGATAACCCAATCCTAGTCCTTCATTATATTGAATTCCATCCGATTAGTTGTTTATTTTATTTCTTTTATTAAATCTCTTCTAATTTACTCATTGATTTAGCTAGTCGAATCTCTTCTAATTCACTCATTAGATTTAGCTAGTCGAATAACGTGAGATTTGGTAATTAACCCTAGTCCTTGTGGGATCGACCTTGATAGCTACAACGAGTCTGTGCGCTTGCGGATTTTGCCTATCAAGTTTTTGGCGCCGTTGCCGGGGACTACGGTGTTAATATTGAGTGCTTACGTTATTAAGCTAGACTAGATTTTTTTTATTTCTCTTTGCTTCTCACTTTCTTTTATGCAAGGGAATCAAACAGAAGTAAACGACGAAAACAATCCTGAACTATCGGTGACTCTTGCAAACATAAGAAGGTCTATAAAGGAGCAAAGGAACACAGAACAAGCTATGATGGGAGATCAAAATCAACTACTTAAGGATTTCGCAGCCCCAAATGCTCAAGGCACACAGTCAAGCATTACAAGGCCCAATGTTGAAGCTAATAACTTTGAGCTGAAACCATCACTGCTCTCAATGGTTCAACAGAATCAGTTTGGAGGAGGTGCTACTGAAGACCCGAACCTCCACCTATCGATTTTCTTGGAGTATTGCGACACTTTGAAACTTAATGGAGTGACCAATGATGCTATTCGACTCAGATTATTTCCGTTCTCTCTAAGGGACAAGGCTAGGGCTTGGTTGCACTCATTGCCAGCTGGGTCCATCACCACTTGGGATCAATTGTCCAGAGTATTTCTTGCAAAGTATTTTCCTCCAAGTAAAACAGCACAGATGAGGAACCAGATCACAAGCTTTGTACAGAAGGAAGGAGAGTCACTTTATGAAGCTTGGGAACGCTACAAGGAATTATTGAGGATGTGCCCTCACCATGGACTGGAGAAGTGGTTAATTGTTCACACCTTCTACAACGGGCTC